GCTAAAAAATGTGATTTTTCGTGCAAGTTACTGTCCAATATGCGCAAATATCGAAAGGAACCAAGATCTTTGGGTTGTAAACTTATATTTCAAATTTCAACTTTTGATGTTAGAGCGTTCACAAAGTTCAATAAAGTGAAACAAGGGCAATAATTCTAGAAGTAATAAACGGAAATTACTGAAATTCAATAGGATTCTCCTCTTTACTAATTTAAATGACGCATGCAGATCGGCAGATAACTTTTGATGTTAGAGCGTTCACAAAGTTCAACAAAGAGAAACAAGGGCCATAACTCTAGACATAATACACAGAATTTGCCGAAATTCAACAGGATTCTTCATTTCACTAATTTAAATACTGCTACCCCATAAAATAAGGTAGTTTAGGAGGAATTTAAAACAGGTACAGGTCAGTACGCTTTCTTTCTATTCTATTACAACAACACATAATTTTGTGGGAATATTGCCGAACATTATGTACATCAGATAAACTACTTTTAAAGCCCAAAACTGTTCAACTAGTCTCTTATATAATCTACCATTTAGTTTAACATGTTGAACATCTCTACATTCTTTTAAAACACAACTTAAAACACATTTATTTAATCAGGCTTTTAACTGACTCTGTATACAATCGTTAACATGTCCATAATCTTGTTGTTTATGTATGATTTACATTGTAAATTTGTAAAGTGCCCCTGAACATGTTATATGAAAGGGCGCACTATAAATATGCTGTAATAATAATAATAATAAATTTGAATACCGTACAGGGATTAAATATGAAAAATAACCAGGGCCACCTATTTTTTATTACGTATGAATTTGAACATTTTGTTGACACGTGATTTTTATACTCCCATCGCCCCGTCCAGACATCGATAAATAACTGGACGGGCCTACATCTTTTTATTTGGAAGATGGTGGGTTAGTCCTGTGAGCCAATTGTTTTTGTCGGGGAAAACTATGTGTCAAGGATAATTTGTTCATGGATCTATAAAATTCTCCTTTGCAAATATTTATATTGTCCCTATTTATGTCCGAAACATATTTTATCCAGATATTGAACAGTATTGTCATTATCGGAAATAAAAAAAACCCTGTCCACTGAAATAAATTATCGATGTAGAAGTGAGGTCGTGCTTGCAAATATCAGCACACTCCCAGAGTTCGGGAGGATATTATTTAACCATTTTGATCAAGTGTGGAATATATGAGTGTGTGATCCGATGGTATGCCTTACTTACTGTCTTATTTGTCTTTATCTGACATTGAATACAGATGTATAATCCGGGATATTATATTCGATAATGGGGAGATCCAAACACGTATGCTACTAAACTAGGTCAGTCCATCTACTGTACTGTCATGAATCCAAGAATAAAAACTCACATGATATAAATCCTTTGTCTTGTAAAAATAAAATTGAAAAACCAGAGCTGAAAATTCTGTGAAAGCCTAACTACCGGTACCGGTAACAATATAATTCCAGCGAGCTAAAACGACTGGCCTTTCCGGCAATTCTTTCTAAATCTTGTGATTTAAAAGCAGACTTGATTATCAAATCTATTTCTTTAATGAAGATTTCACTACCATGCTGGAGACCATAGTCTTCGAAAAGAGGCACGTGCATAGGAAGAATAACAAAGAGTTTATCGTTTCTTAAATATAGGCTATCCCCACGTTTGACAGAAGGTCAGTTTAATAATGAAAATGTTAATGATAAAAAAATGATGTGTCGTCTGCCAGACAGCACTGATAGTTTACTTTCATGTTGAAGAGGTCACGGTCTTTCATTTCACGTCAGTTCCACACGTCATGATGAATGAATCTCTTGCAGAACTTCGAAATTCAAGGCATTTTGGGTGGGTAGCGTGTGTGTTTTGTTAATATTTATTGGGCCCACAAGTTAATGTTAGCACCTAAAACTTTCATAATGGCGTCTATCAGCGGGTCCAGTTGGCTTACAACTTTTCTTGCCGAATTTTAAACACTGGATCGGACCGTAACTTCATGGATTATGGTCCCTGATTGTACGAAAAATCACGTTTTTAGCTTGTGGACCCTATGGAGATCACAATTTTTATATGCACACATAGAAATGTGGACGTATATTGCCGTCGCCCCCGTCCGTCCATCGTCCACAATTTCTTGTGAATACTCTAACGCCAAAAGTTATCATTCAATTGTTTTAAAATTGATATATGTTGTTTACATTAGTGAGATGAAGAAGCATATTTCATTTCAATAATTTCCGTTTATAACATTTAGAGTTATGGCCCTTGTTTCACTTTGCTGAACCTTGCGAATGCTCTAATGCCAAAAGTTAAGAGCGTGTCCGCGAGAAAACCATGCAGAAGGTGCTAAGGCTTCAATCACAGATTTTGACCAAATTTGGTTTATAAGTTGGGATAGTCCCAAAACACATAAATGTGCAATATTAGATAAATCTTTCAATTCCTGTATGAGAAAATTGAAAAAACATTTTTCCTATGGTGAAATTGCCAAAATCTGTCTTTTCTCAAATACCAACTTTGGCAAGTCCTTACACCTTTACTATACGTAGCAGAAAGACCAAACTCACACAGTTTACCGATGACTCAGTGCTGTTACCACAATATTAACTTCAGACGATTCTGGCGAACGAGATCTGTATACTGACTGGATATCAAAGCCTGTCTAAATTCCCCATTTTTCGTCACCAAAAGTTTGACGCCCTATAGCTACTTCTTTCATGGGGTGGATTTAAAAAATTTATGCTCACGTGAACAAGCAACCTCCCAACATTTGATACAAAAAATAAAAATGACCGGAATCGACTTGACAAAAACTAGGTAAAGGAAACAATAACCCATGAAATTAACATGTAATTTCCCTATTTTGGAGATAATTAACCGTAGTAGATAAAAAAAACCTAACAATTTATTTTCCTTTTCATTCATATGGTGTTTACTACCAGGCCTAAAATACATTAGTATCTGTTTTATAAAAATATCTTGAAAAAAATTAACATGTAATTTCCCTATTTTGGAGATAATTAACCGTAGTAGATAAAAAAAACCTAACAATTTATTTTCCTTTTCATTCATATGGTGTTAACTACCAGCCCTAAAATACATTAGTATCTGTTTTATAAAAATATCTTGAAAAAAAATACTTTCAAAGGCCTGTAATCGTTCATGGCTCATCTGGCGTCAATGGGAATTGACTTCTGCAGTTGTCCACGACCTTCCATTGGAGTTTCGACGTGCTCAATCTTAACAAACATATCCATTACTCTCAAATAGACATTATTTTAAATAAAATAATCCAACGAAAATGAAAAATTCACCTAAAAGTGAGATTCGAACCACCAACCGCATGACTTCCCCTGACCCACCGTCTCACCGAGTTGCTTGTCCCAGGACCCCAAGGTCCATGTCGTGGGCCCTGTTCAGGGGGTTTGCCTAGGGCCTCTCTTATTCTAAATCCGGCCCTGAAGGTGCAGCTGACGGTGCCCAAGAGCTGTAGCTACCATACTACACTGTTCAATGTCACCTACTTCGACGCAATTAGGCTTCGTTGCCGTTAATATTTAAGCTTCCACATTTCTGTATTGTAGAAATCAGTGGATGTGTCCCAAAATGAATAGTGGAAACATGCTCTGAAATTAAACATTTTGTAGCCATTTTCGGTAACTTGTTTGAAAATGAAATCTTAAAGAGACAATACAACAAATATGTTAAAGGGACAATACGACAATACCAAATATACAATAAATACAAATACACACTTATATAGAGTACAACATGGTAAAAGTAATGGCTATGGATATGATGAAACGTATAAAAGTATAAAAGTCAAAAATTTTATTTCTCTAATTAAATTCGCAAAAAAATGTATCACAAAAGCTTTTTTTTAGCACTTTTCAATAAGCTGTATATTTTAAGTATGTTGCATTCCGGTCATTTTTTTTACACCTATGGATACTATGTGCTTAGCACTTCAAAACCATCAAAAGAAATTCTACTTGCGACCATGAAAGAAAAAGTTACAGTGTATCTTTTTCTGCACTATAAGGACAATGTGAATATGGTACCCTAAAACAAGTCCACACAAAATTAGTATGTACTGATTTTTTTTTTTCAAATTAGTGCTGGGGTAGAAGTTGACCACCCGCTTTATCAGACAGGGTCAAAATTAGAAGGTTGCTATTCCACCATAGAATGCAGTCTGTGCTTAAAAAAGGTGATAAATACACATGTGAAAACCGCAATTTTACCCATAAAATGAATAATTCCTGTACAGTCCTTTAGAGCGACATCAGACTGTAACCACTTCAGCATGTTACCTCTTGCCCCTAGGGGGTGTCATACCATAAGTTTGATCAAAAACTTCCGACCCCCCATCTTAGCACTTTTTGCGATTTTTGCATGGTCTTCTCGCGGATACACTCTTAACATCCGATCTATGTGAAATTCATATGCAATATTTAAATTTGGGAAACGAAGAAGCCTATTGAATTTCAGCAATTTCCGTTTATTACTTCTAGAGTTATGGCCCTTGTTTCACTTTGTTTAACCTTGTGAATGCTCTAACCCCAAAAGTTATCATCCTATTGTGATCATAAATCTGAGATGTGCGATCAGAACAGTCTAGTATTTATCGGATATGCGTGTGTGTGTGGAATAGCTTTACCTAACTTCGGCTTCCACCGAAGAAATATCACAGACAAGCTGTCTATGTGACTATCGGTATGACACGATAAATACGTCGATTACTTAATTACCTTATCAATCCAGCCTATTATCAACGATAATCAGGTCGAGTGGTAGTCATAAACTTAGAACACTATATATTAAATTTGGAAATTCAAATATTATTCACTGTGTCTTTATGTCCGATTGGGCATATTCCTGGTCGGACAATTTAGGACGTTTGGAAAATACCGTCGGACTTGTCCAGAATATACGGGCAAAATCCCATCACTGGATTAAAGAGATAAAGTGAAAGATGTTTACCTCATCAACATCTTGTCCGAAACCAATAGGATTAGATATAGCATCTGATATTTCACTAGCTATTTCATTCTGTTCAGCTACTTCATCCATTAGATCATGAACTTTATCCACATCCCTGTAAAAAAATAAAAAAGATAGGTTGCCCGGCAATGAAACAGATGCCCACAGCGGCTTAGTCATCCGGGTAGTCAAGAAGAGTTGTCGCATATTTTTTTCTTTTGTCAGAAATGAAACATTTATAATACACAAAAATCTAATTTGTTTGGCTTCTTGTTCTACCCCATGCTAACGTTTAGTATACAAAACATTTAATATCATGGATTTAGCTGTTTAAGTTATCAAAAATCATTGAAAATCAATATACTTGTTTGTCGCAAAACCTTAACAGCTGTGTATCAATCTAAAGTCAATCGAATAATTACTTTGGCCTGAAGCGCATCCGCAATATTTCTCGAAGTCATCAAAGGCCATAACTCTACAGTCAGTAATAATTATTAGAAATCCATGAAATATAGATGTCTTCGTTTCATGACTGTCAATACCGTGTATAAATTCAAAATAAATCGAATCATGACTTTAGTCTCTAGAGTATTCACCAGATTTTTCAAAGTGATCAAACGCCAGAACTCTGACAGTAATTATCCGAAAACGTTGAATATTTTAAGACTTCTTCGTCTCATGAACTTCAACACCGCATATAACTTTAAAGTCAATCGGATATTAATTTTAGGCTCTAGGGCTTCCACAAAATATTTCAAAGTTATCAAGGGCCATAACTCTTGTAGTAATTATCGGAAATAATTGAAAATTGATTGACATCTTCAACTTATGACATTAAAAATTTAAGCACTGTGTATAAATTTAAAGTCAAACTTAACCCTCTAATCCATAAGATATTTCAAAGTGATCAAGGGCCATAACTCTGATATTAATCATCCGAAATCGTTGAAAATCAATAGGCTTCTGAATCTCATGACCTTAAACACTGTGTATAAATTGTGGACGCTGGACCGACAGACAGGGGCGACAAACAATATACGACCACATTTTGATGTGAGTGTATAAAAACATTCACCATATATACATGTACATATATAACATTTAATAATATTGTGGGTCATTCTATGAATCAGTGGTTGTTGGGTGACCCCCTCAGAATATTATGAAAAAGAGAGCCACACAGCTTCTTTGTCTCAACTGCAGCTTAGCCAAAAGGAAAACTTGGTCTGAGCAAATCTGATGAGGATTTAGGATCCTTGTTTGAAGAAATCTGAAAAAAAGATCTGTTAAGACCTACAGCCTCTATTGCGTTCACTTGGTTTTCGATAAAGTGGGCATAAGTCAGGAATCGAATGCTATGGATTATGAAAATCAATAGGGATCGATGACCCCAATGCTTCAAGCTATTTATGAAAACAAAAACTATAGCCTTTATCGCGTTTACAAACTTTTTTCCAGAAAATAGGGCATAGCTCTGAAATGGTAAGTCATGGAGAGGTGAATATTGTTAGGATTCATCCTCTCATGAACCCAATGCTTTACACAAAATTTTGCAACAATCTGCTAAAAACTATATAGATAGGGTTCATCCGCTCATAACCCCAATGCTTCCCACCAAATTTTAAAAAATTCTGTTAACCAGTTTTGGGCCGATTTTTACGAAATTCGAACTCAGCCGTACTTAGGGTTTAATGGTGATATAATAATACATTTTTTTAAATCGGATAAAAATTATGACCTCTATAGGGTCCACAAGCTAAAAACGCGATTTTTCGTACAATCAGGGGCCATAATTCAGGAAGTCACGTTCCGAAATGCACGAATATCGAAAGGAACAGAGATCTTTGGGTAATAAGCATACGTTTCAAGTTTAAACCAAATCGGTGGAAAATTGTGACCTCTACAGTGTTCACAAGCTAAAAACGTGATTTTTCATACAATCAGGGGCCATAATCCATGTAGTTACAGTCCGATACATGCCAATATTGAAAGGAATCGAGATCTTAGGGTGGTAAAGCTATATTTCAAGTTTCATTGAAATTGAGATAAAAATTGTGACCTGTAGACTGTTCACAAACAATTGTGGACGGACAGACAGGTGCGACGACAATATAATTCCACATGAAAATGTGAAACTTCCAATCAGTAGAAACAGGAAACACAAACCAAACTCTGTCAACTATGTCAGTTCTTATGTTGTATATTGTTTTTAAACAATATGTAAAACCTGTAGTATGCAATATGTAGGCCAAACCATTACTCCTTTCAGCACTCGACTTCATAAGCACAGAAGTAATATAAAGCTTAAAAAACCTGGTCATTCCCCCCATGTAACCTCCCATTTTAATTAACCGGGTCATGATTTCATGTGTACCATTGTACAAAAAATTCCTGATAAAGATCAGAAAAAATTGAACACAGCAGAAAGTCTGTGGATTCATAGACTTGATTCGGTATGGCCGAACGGTTTAAATGAGTTAAATCCAGGGGGTTTCAAAATCATTCATAATCATGCATAAGTTTTCCTTACTTGAAAAATTTTACCTAAGGTTTAGTTAAGCTAACCTTTCACGTTATGTATCTAAGTCTATGACGTCATCACGCCAATGATGTCATAACTTCCTATGATGTCATAACTGACTTCCAGTCATTTTGAATTTTACTGACGAAACGTTGGATAAAACGATGTTTTTTTTGATATTGTATTCTATTAATTATTTTCTATCACATGAAAATGTGGGCGTATAAAAATTGTGTTCACAAAGTTTTCGACAAAGGGTGGATAACCCTGGAATATAATTTGATTGGTTTTATCCTCTTGTGATCACAATGCTCCACACCTAATATGGTCGAAAACTACAGCCTCTATCGCATTCGCAATGTTTTGCATACATGTAATGTTGAACGAAAACTAACAGAATGCTGAGGATTGATAGGGTTCGTCCTCTAACAATCATGATGCTTCACCAGGGTTGTAAAAATCCACTATCCTGATGCCCAAGGCTACCAAAAATAACTTACAGGCTAGTGACCTATTTAGCCGTGCTAGTCCTAGACTTGTGCTGTTTCAATGCTAACTTTTTATAGTTTGTGAATTAAACTGTCATATGATAAAAATAAACTGTAAGATATCTCAATTCCCACCTTTATTACACACCAGTTTAATTTTTCTCCGTTTCACAAACTGCCTCATGGCTAAAATGGCACTTGCACACGAATGTGGACTTATAAAAAACATTGCTAACTAGAATGTTTCTTTTTGGTGGGAAAAGGAGTCACTTGTGCAAATAACAATACCATGGTAGGCCGGTGTAATTTTGAAATTCTAAAGAAGACAAGCGATGTTTTGACACCATGAACTATTCTTATCAGGTAGGCCAGTGATCAAGCGCTGAAATAAGCGTCCGGACACGGACAATGTCCGGGCGAATTGACCCCTTTTGACAGGCCAAATTGCCTTTCGTCCGGACATAATTGTCCGACCGTGTTTTTGTAAAACATTATGTCAAAAATATTTGAGTCGATCGCTATTTATTATTAGACTCGAAAGTCCAGAACCAAAAATATCAATGACCCGAGTCATAGTGAAAATGTTACTATTTATATCTCGGCCGCGTGCAGATAAAATCTTCAATAATTTTTAAATCGACTCTTTTACGCTGGTTATATCAACGACCCGAGTCATAGTAAAAATATTACTATTTATACATGTATCTCTCTCGGCCACGTGAAGAAAAAATAATGAATAATATTGAGAATCGGCTCTTTTACACTGGTTATTCGAGTCTCGTAGCTAGCTTTGCATTACTTTCGTATATGATTAGCTCTAAATCACACCTAACATGACATGTAATTATATAAATTATTAGTTATAAAAGTAATAATATTTTAAAATTAGTTTACAAGAAAATGTCCAAGTTGACTATGGATGTAATTAGGGACAGATTTTTTATACGAAAATATCTCACTTTGTTGGACACTTCCAATGTGAATGTAAATAGAAGAGCCGTGAAAACATGTCGAATAAAATAACTTCTTACTTTTCCCAACCCTCGGACACGGATATCCCGGCTAGTGGGACCGTTCCAGAAAATTCAAAGACTGGTACTGTGTCTTAATCTTATGTCTCTCATAAAGACACTTCTAAACGGGGGGCGTCGCCGTCACCAGTTGGAAAATTACAAAAACGAGCCGTAGAACTAGAAAAGTGGATCAAAAATGACTTGGCAGATTCTGAACCATTTACGACAACTCATATTTAATTAAGATGTCTATTCTTTAGTTAAATTTGAATCTTAATCAGAGTTTTTAGGATTTAGTCCCCAGCCCAACCAAAGAGATTAATGACATTATTATATGAACTATAAAGTTGTATTCCATATACATATAAAAACTTAAAACTCCAGGTTGTATGTGAGTCATCAATTTATTTTATTAATAAATGTATGTATAATAATATATATAAACATAGTAAATTTCAACAGTTTTTTGGTTTAATATACTTTATAAAGTATTTGTCAGGCTGAAAATCTGAAATGTCCGGCCGAAAATCAGTTCAGCCTGACATGATGTCAGGCTGAACCTTAGCAGTTATTTCAAGGCTTGCCAGTGATATCAAATCATAAGAACTTGTATAAAGCACAATATTCCACACTGAAAGACAAATATTGACTTCCAGTTAAAAACCAATTGAAAAAATGTTTTATTAAACGCCCGCATTTTGCAAGAGATGGATAGAGAACAAAGTAAAAACAAAAACGATTTTTTGTACAATGGGGGCCATAATCCAGAAAGTTATGGTCTGAAATGCCCAAATATCAAAAGGAACTGAGATATGTTTTAAGTTTCATAAAAATTGTGACCTCTAGAGGGTCCATAACCTTTGTATTACATAGTTATTATACACTATTTGCGTACAAAGAGCGGCCATTTTGTCGGTCAGTTTCAAGTTTGATTTTCCCGAAATTCGAATTCAAAATTCATTATAGTGGAATGGTGATATAAATGTATCTAAACGGTTTTTAAAGTAGCTAAGTCTCTAACTCAATATCATCCAAAATCTTCAACATTGAAAACACGAATTATTTGTCAATTTAAATCAACATTGATGCTGTGATCTTACCGGAAAAAGATCGGCTTCTAATATCCAATATTTAAGACAAAATAAACATTTTACCATTGGTACACGAATCGTGTACCATAATGCTTTCAGCCCCAGTTGTAACAAGAGACTCAAAGAACGAGGCTAGACACATTGCACCAAATAAAAAGGCGTCGCAGTCTTCTTATCTGGAGACCATGTGGACTATGCGCAATAAATATTATGTAGACTGAAATAACCAGACGCTAGAAATTTTAATTCGATTGAGACTACTGGCTTATTTCGCCGAACATAACTGATTTGAAATTAGAGTAAAAACGGAAACCATTGAATGTAAATCAGTTTATATACATTCATATTATAGTATTATATGCGTTGCGACCCAATTGTGTCAATGTTAGCGATTTAGCTCCTTTAAAATCGGAAAAAAAATTGTGACCTAGAGAAACCACAAGCTAAAAATGCGATCTTTCGACCAATCAGGGGCCATAATCCAGGAAATTACGTTCGGATATGTGTGATTATCAAAAGGAACCAAGATCATTATGATAAAAACATATATATTTAAAGTTTCATCCAAATCGGAAAAAAACTGTGGACTCTATAGGGTCCACAACCTTGATATACCATATTTTTTACACTATTTGCATGCAAGGGGGCGGCCATTATGTCTGTCAGTTTTAGTCCGATTTTCACGAGCTCAAAACAGGATTTTTCATACAATCAAGGGCCACAATTCAGGAAGTTAAGATTCGATATGTGTGAATATCGGAAACATGCATTTCAAGTTTCATGAAAATCGGATCAAAATTGTGACTTCTAGGAGGTCCACAACCTTGATAAACCATATTTTCACACTACTTGCGTACAAGGGTCAGCCATTTTGTCCAGCAGTTTTGGTCCGATTTTCACGGAATTCGAACTCAACCATCATTAAGGGGTAACGGTGATATACTTAAACGTTTTTATGAATCAGATAAAAATTGTAACCTCTAGAGGGACCACAAGCTAAAAACAAGATTTTTCGTACAATCAGGGGCCATAACTCCAGAAGTAACATTCCGATATGTGCGAATATCTAAAGGAACCAAGATTTTTGGGTTATAAACATGCATTTCAAGTTTCATAAAAATCGGATCAAAATTGTGATCTCTAGAGTGTCCACAGCTAAAAACGTGATTTTTCGAACACTCAGGGGCCATAATTACATGCCAATATCAAAAGGAACAGAGATCTTTGGGAGATAAACCTATATTTCAAGTTCCGTCAAAATCGGATAAAAATTGTGACCTGTACCGTGTCCACAAACAAATTGTGGACAGACGCTGTCCGGACGGACAGGGGCGACGACAATATACGTTCACATGAAAATGTGGGCGTATAAAAAAGCATCACTAACATCATTTGTTCGTAACTGAAGCTATTCTCATCTAAAATTCACTTTATTATTATCTTATTAATTTTTTGCTTCCAACTTTGTTTTCCTCTAACGAAGATTGTTAGTTGATGCCTGAATATATGTTGATTAATTTCTATTCTCAAACATCAAGCCAAAGAAAGGCATCTCACCTATGTTTATTTAAGGTCAATATCTAAAGAACACCTTCACTGACAAAGGTGACGTCCACATTAAATGTGAGCGTATAACATAAAATATATCTTACAAATTATTGTGAGCTCCTTTAAGAGCCTTTGCTGCAACTCCCATGACTTTGAGTACTTCTGTATTTGTGCTAGCATCTTCTAAAGCTTCTCGTTGAAATTCAATAGTTGACAATGTACCGTCAATTTTTTGTAATTGTTGATCGAATCTCTTTTTTCTTTTCAATGCTTGTAATGCAACTAAAAAAAAATAAGGAAAATTCATTATACAGTTAAACAGAAAGTACATGTATGGTAGAATATACTTCAAAACTATTGGGCCTATCCAAATTGAAGACAATATTCTAAAATATAGGTTGCCAGGCAATGAAACATACGCCCACAGCAGCTAAGTCGTCCGAGCAGTCAACAAGAGTTGTCGCATATTTTTTCTATTGTCAGTAATGAAACATTTATCAGTGACCACCCTAGACATTCGCTTTTATTGGCGATCAAATTGATGATACTGGCGAAAGTTTTGGCGAATGAATTTCAGAGAGTGTAATTTTGAAAATCTTCTAATTTTAATTTTGAAATTGTCTAGTTCAACCCTTCTTTCTATTGACTCGATGTAGTGTCTATTTTTAGTACATTAATTGACTCTAGTCTCAATCTTGCAAGTGGAGAATTAGTCAATGGTTCAGATTTTAAAAAAGACTGAAAGATCCGTCTCGAAACTTAACTTTCAAACACAGTTACGTCCCTTTTGTAAGGGGCTGAGCTGTGGTTTTTTTTCACTTAGCTATAATTTTTCCAATTTATTTTCAAATTATAATAATGAATAATGATTACTAATGGACAGATTAATTTTTCTTTCCTTCATCCGCCTGCGACAATATGAAATGTTAACTTTCGGACAGTTCAGAGAATAAAATAATACTCTTGTGCATTAAAAAAGTACATATTAAATATTTTTTTAATTAAACACATGAATAGAAATATAATATTTGGCTACAAGTTTCTGAATTGGCTAAAAATTTGGCTAAAGGTTTTAAGAGTCTAGTGCGGTCACTTGATTTATAATACACTAAAATCTGATTAAGAGTCACAACTCATTAAGTAATTATCAGAGAATCGGTAGAATTTGTTTGGTCCATGCTAATGTTTAGTATATGAAACATTTAATATCATCGATTTAGCTGTTCAAGTTATCAAAATTCATTGAAAATCAAGATCTTAAACTCTGTGTATCAATCTAAAGTCAATAAATCAGATGAAAACTTTGGTCACTAGGAGCATCCACAAGATTTTTCAAAGTGATCATGGGCCATAACTCTGGTAGTAATTATCGGAAATCATTGAAAATCACCGGGCTTCTTCGTCTCACAACCTTAAACACTGTGTTTAAATTTCAAGGTAATTGGATATTAACTTTAGCCTCTAGAGCGTCCGCAAGATATTTCAAAGTCATCAAGGGCCATAACTCTGAGAGTAATTATCTGAAATCGTTAAAAATCAATAAGCTTCTGAATCTCATGACCTTTTAACACTGTGTATACATTGTGGACGCCGGACCGACAGACAGGGGCGACAACAATATATGACGACATTTCAATGTGGGTGTATAAAAACATTCACCATATATACATGTACATGTACATGTATATAACATTTAATAATATTGTGGGTCATTCCATGAACCAGTGGTTGTTGGGTGACCCCCTCAGAATATTATGAAAAAGAGAGCCACACAGCTGCTTTGTCTCAACTGCAGCTTAACCAAAAGGAAAACTTGGACTGAGTAAATTTGATGAGGATTTAGGATGCGTGTTTGAAGAAATCTTAAAAAAGATCTGTTAAGACCTACAGTCTCTATTGCGTTCACTTGGTTTTCGATAAAGGGGGCATAACTCAGGAATCGAAGGCTATGAATTATGAATATCAGTAGGGATCGATGACCCCAATGCTTCACGTTCAAGCTATTTATTAACTATCGCCTTTATATCGCCTTCACAAGTTTTTTTTTCCAGAAAATAGGGCATACATATAGCTCTGAAATGGTAAGTCATGGAGAGGTGAATATCGTTAGGATTCATCCTCTTATGAACCCAATGCTTTACACCAAATTTTGCAACAATCTGCTAAAAACTATAGATAGGGTCCATCCGCTCATAACTGCATTCACAAAATTTTCGACAAAGGGTGGATAACCCTGGAACGAAATTTGATTGGTTTCATCCTCTCGTGATCACAATGCTTCACACCAAATATGGTCGGGGATCACGTGGCTAAGTGGGTAAGACACTGGCTCGCTAGCCTGGAGGTCAGGTGTTCGATCCCTGTATTGGCCGAGAAAGTTCAGCCAGATTTTCCGGCGTGGTTCCCCCCTTGTCAGTGATGCAGGACGGAGGGCCTGACAAGGAAAGCTGTCTTGTCCTTTGGATGAGACGAAAAACTGAGGTCCCGTTTATTCATTGGAATGCACGTAAAAGATCCCTTGGCAGTTGGAATTCGATATAAGAGTAGGCGATGGTGCCGCTGCCCGGGCAAAATTTCCCTCATAGCACACTGTATGGCGTATGCCCGTCTTCATTAGCCCAGCATAGGAGCAGAACAGTAGGACGTTAAACCCCATTTCATTTCATTTCATTTCATTTCCAAATATGGTCGAAAACTACAGCCCCTATCGCATTCACAATGTTTTCGGAAAAAGGGGCATACATATAATTCTGAATGAAAACTCACTGAATGCTGAAGATTGATAAGAGTTCGTCCATAACTCTGGTAGTAATTATCAGAAATCATTGAAAATCACTGGGTTTCTTCATCTCACGACCTTAAACACTGTGTTTAAGAAGCCAACAATGAGGCTGATGTCCCCCCCGAAATCCCAAAATAAATAGATGTCACATATTAATTAATCACACATTTATTTTTTTTCAAAAGTATCAAGCAATCAAACCGATTATCAACTATACACCAAGTTTCATCACTCTCTATCAGATAGAATCATAGTTAACTGGCCCCAAAGCATCGACCAATAAAATTGCTTAGCTCTGTTTAGCTTTAGCTCAAAATGTTAATCATTGAACGCATTCAAGACATTCACCTAATGAACATCATCATCAAGTTTTAATATTCTACCTCAATTAAAAGCAGAGTTGTTATGTTCCAAAGTCTTGACCAATCAAATTGCTTATCGATCCTTAGCCTGAGCAGAATATTCTCATCATCCAACTTAGTCAAGTTAATGATATAATAAATCTATACTTAGAGTTTCATCACTCTCCTTGACATTGTTTTTAAATTTATAGACAAGGAATAGAGATATAAGATGGTTTGAACAATATTTGTATCTTTACAAATTGTTCTCTATTGTCGGTATATTAGCTATGGTGTGAGTCTATTTAGGGCGCAAATTGACTGTACTTAAATCAACTTGGTGAATAATTGACAGGTTGACACATAAAAAGAGTTACAGACCCAAAACATAGCTGGTTGTGTGTGTCAACAACATGTTACCAGATTACATGTGAGTGGAAATATACTAAATTTGTGATGTGGCTTAATTTAACCAATCATATCAGAAATTGCACAGGTTCAAAGCTATGAACAGGCTTTTCTGTGCATGATATCCATGAGTCCACTAAAGAAATCATAGTATAGTAAACTTTTAAGGTGGACTTTCATTAGATTCCGGAGAGTTTACCATCTGAGTTCCTAGACAGCAGCTTGGTTCTAAAAGGGAAAAGATGTAGAACTTTCTATTCAGCAGACTCGCCCAAATCAAGTCTGGCTGGCTAGTGTTTGAGAATGACTTTAGTTTATATTGTAATCTATTAAGTTCATATTAACAGGGTTTGGTCGACCCATCGAGCTTACTCACCAGCCAAAATTGCAGATTTCAGAAATCAACCGTTTCCGAGATACAGGCCGAGTACGTTTTTCGGTTGATTTTTGTCATTTTTAGGCCCAATTTTAGCTATTTTTGTCGCACTACTACCGCTGTTGCATGACCCTGGCCAACTTGGTTTTGGTCGTTCGTGATAGTCGGGGTCTTACCCAATCACATTATCATGGTCACCCGGTTCAAGTTCATTTTCCATAGGTGTCAGGAGACTACACAAGATACATGTCTGGAGATACCTGAAATGTACCCTATCTTCAAATCGCGATAACTCCACTGGAGCAGGGTTTGTGATAAAAATTAAAATCAATTTATTTGCAGCTTGACCAGTTCTAACAACATAAGAAATAAAATCGTTGTCAACTAACTTGCAAAAGTATGAAAATTTGTGTCGAAAGTTACCAAAAACTTTAGTTTTGATTGGGATACATCGGCGGATTATTCAAGTACCCAATCGCCAATATTGTTATTGAAAGGGTCAATATATCAACTCCAACTCCCCTTCAACCCGCTTTGCCAAAGTATTCAGTCTCGGTGTGGTTTGGTATCCAGTCTACAAATCCAAGATGGCGTCTCCCAGTGAATATGGATTTTCGCAAATTCTCGATCTAGAATGTCGATCCTGATTATTTAAACATTTTTTTTCTATGAGAAATTTCAATTCAAAATTTTTGAAAAACAGTCGAGTTACAGCAGATGAAAGTCGACAATTATGCAAAACAGACCCAACTTCCATGAAAATCGCCTATTTAGTCTTCACCGTGACCTTTAATCGCGAGGTCATCAGGGATACAGTTTGCTCTATCGTTGCTCTATCGACAAACCATATCTCATTCGAAAATATTGAAAAACAAATGAGTTAGAGTCGGGATTTCTAAAATTTTCTTGTCCGACATTTTACCGAAAATAAAGGGGTATAACTCTTATCGTTATTTAAGCAGACAGATTCATACCACAATTAAAAATCACGTGTCAACAAAATATTCAAATCCGCACGTAATAAAAATAGGAACACCTCGCTATTTTTGTACGCCCACATTCTCGTGTGGATGTATATTGTCGTCGCCCCTGTCCGCCAACAATTTGTTTATGGGCACTCTACAGGTCACAATTTTTATCCATTTTCAACAAAACTTGAAATATAGGTTTATGTCCCTAAGAATTCGGCTCCTGTCGATATTGGTATGCATCGGGCCGTAACTTCATGGACTATGGCCCCTGAACTTACGACAAATCACGTTTTTAGCTTGTGGACACACTGCACATGGAGGATACAATTTTTATCCGATTTTGATGAAACTTAAAAGGTACGTTTATAACCCAATGAACTTGGTTTCTTTCGATATGATGACGC